CTTCCTTCCTTCCTTCCTTCCTTCCTTCCTTCCTTCCTTCATTCATTCATTCATTCATTCATTCATCCCTTTTCAGTTCCAGATGTCCCAAATTACTGACTTCTCTCCGTTTGCCTTGCAGATTATTGGTCCTTGCGCAAGTGGGGTTTAGTAGCTGCTGCCATCCTTTTCATCTTGGGCATTCTCATTCTTACCTGTAAGCCTGTGAGACTGGAAATGAATGAATGAATGAATGAATGAATGAATGAATGAAGGAAGGAAGGAAGGAAGGAAGGAAGGAAGGAAGGAATGAAATGTATCTTATTAACTGAGGTTGAAAAGAGAATGATGGAATAAAAGAACAGAACCATGTTTCGTATCATTGCCTTACAGTCCTAATTTAGTTTTAACAATTATAGTTAACATTAATCAGTTCATTATACTGGCTTTGCATGAGCTTTTTCAGCAATATTGTCTGCATCACTGAAAATGCTAGAATATAATATCACACCATTAACATCACCATTTGAAATCGGAAGTACTTCATAAAAAAAAAAGGCAATGTTTAGGTGGGAACACTTAACTTTGCTATCAGTTTGTACGGCTGCCTATCCATTCCAAAGAAAATCTGGATGGTGGATTTGAAATCAAAAGAGTTACATATTATTTAATGTTCAGGAAAGGCCTCTGGCAAGCACATGATTTAGGACATTGTTTTCCACCATGATTCCAGGAATGATACTTGGTGATCCAATACCTTGGTGGGTTTAAAGATGCTGTGTAGGCTGCCTTTTTTTTTTTTAACCATAAGACAAACTCTAGGGCAAAGTGATGGTGGTGGGGAGGTTCTGGCATTCCAGATGTGCTCAGCCACAATACAAGCACCTTCGTGCACCCAAACCATTAGTGTAAGAAGCAGCTGGCATGCCATCTCTTCCCATTCTGTTCTGAACTTTAGGAAAGAGCATTCCTCAAATACTCCGTTTGCTTCCTCTTCTCTTCAGGTGGCAAAAATGGGAAATTTCCACGATGCCGAGGGAAAAAGCAGGCAAGGTAAGTCTTCCAACTGTGTTGCCCGCTCTGTCCCCTTATCTTTGTGCATTTGATCACGTGAAAATTGTGCTTGAGAAACATGTCTGATTCTCACGCATGACCAACCCTGATCCTGATTTTTATTTTATTTTTACAGAACATACGATGTGTCTCGGGCTTGAAAGCCTCTTTGCCAGAAGCCTCTAAAGACTGCACTGGGAATGCTTTGGCACCACCAGGGGGCATCCTTATGGTGAAAAAAAAATGTTTGGTGTTCTCCCAGAACCATCTTTCTTCTATCTGACCTTTCCATTTGTGCTTATTATGATCCTGCAACACAAGTCCATTTGTATTGCCCTCTCCCTAAATTATCTTTTTGTTACATTGAACTAGTTCCTTGGCACAATCACAAGGCCTGGAAATCCATTGTTCCTTTCTTTGCCTGCCTGAGGCCAGGGCAATGTGTATAGTGACTATTGTTCTTAGTTGCTTAGCAAAACTTGTCTATCCAAATTCTCTGCCAAGAAATCTCAAGTTCTGTTCTCTCAATAAATTTTTGGCGTGGTTTGTTGCTTCTAAATTTCCTGACATTGACTCTGTGCTGTTTTTGGCCTGGTGTGGGGTGTGGGTTATATTTACATACCCTCGTTCTGAAAGAAGCTATGATAGCAGAGCTATTATCCATTGGGATCTGGTAGTTGTCAGATTGGATGACAAGGTAGAAAGATTCAGAAAAGAAGGGAGGAGGTAGTTTTATTAAAAAAAAACACATTCTGTGGGTTAACACCAGGGGTGGGTTCCTGCCAGTTCTAACCTCTTCTATAGAAGTGGTTCCACAAATCTACAGTGCCATTTAGAACCGGTTACAGCTGCCTTCCCCTGCCTATCTGCACATCATCAAGATGAAGAGCGAGAGGAGGAATTCTGGGAGTTGAAGTCCACAAGTCTTAAAGCTGTCAAGTTTGAACACCCCTGAGTTTTTTTCTAAAGGGCTAGGAGTGCAAGGGTCTTGTAACTTGACAGCTTTAAGACTTGTGGACTTCAGCTCCCAGAATTCCTCCTCTCGCTCTTCATCTAGATGATGTGC